AAAATCAAATAGACATAACGCCAAAAACTACGGGGAAACAATGCTCCACCGTTATCAGATACTGCCAACTACAAAACTTCTGTCATGTCCATAGCATGAAAAATGTAACGTATTCTAGTACTGACTTAACGACACTCCAACCAACCAGCATTTTAAATGATAGTATCACAAAACTGAGCTATTGTTCTGCAATAATCCAAAATCAATTAGAAAAATCTCATTGCCTTTTGATTAAAGGAGTCAGAGCAATGCTAACTTCCAGGTTGGCTTACAAAAGTACATCATCATTACATCACTCTATATGCAAATGTACTGTACTGTTAGTTGCAAATCGATTTGTAAAAAGGCTACGATTGCTATAATAGATATATATCTGTATCGCAAATAAAATCAGCGGGTATTAACGGCAACTAGTACCACACCAGCACTAAAAAGCAGATGTTGTGCAGGCATAAGATTGAATGAGACATGTAAATATATTAGGAGGTTTTGTTGGTTGAAATAGATAAAAAAATATGGTAAAAATAAAAGAGATTTATTGAACATGTTGGTGTTGTAACAGAAAATCAAAGCCTGCAGGAATAAAACAGCGGCATGTGAGGGACAAATGAGCACAGCAGGGGGCAAAGAGACGGAGAGAGGTTGTAATGTTGTGAGTTACGACTTTGAACTTTGTCGAACTCCTCGCCCTGGTCAGTGTTTTCACTCTTAACGCCGCCGCCCCCTTTACCTCTGACCCCTCACCCCACGACCTCACAAATGAGCCATTTCTTGAAACCACTCCCCTCTTTACGAGCGTGACTGACCCAGACCTGGGGATGAACCCGACATTGCTCCACACACACACACACACACACACACACACACACACACACACACACACACACAACACACACACACACACACACACACACACACACACACACACACACACACACACACACACACACACACACACACACACACACACACACAGCACAATAAGAGCACAGTTAAGACCTTCTCTCTCTTTTTCAATAGACAACAAGTCACTGCTCTTTCATTAGCATCGATCGTAGCCGTGGGACACGTTAAAGGAATACAATCAGTGGATTTCCATAACGCTCTCTGGGGATCTTTTATAATTAAATGGACCAAACAACATCCCTCTGAGGATTTTTTTTAAGAACAAGACGAACATGTTAAGCCTGAATTTTGTGTAATGATTTGGTGTCATTTCTAATCATAAACAGTAAGCCATTTTATGCCTCTCAATTGGGAGTATTTCAAACTGGCAATTACATAATGTGATGTGAAAATGTGTGTATGTGTCTTTTTTAAGGACAAAACCAAGCCTGATAACACGGCTGTAATAATTGTTGTTTCCATTTATTAACATATTTGGAAACCTTTTTCTTGAACCGACAAACAAGTAACAGAAAAAAACCTAGCTTAAGATCGATACTTACTCGGATGTTAACCCTGCAGCAAAATAAATAAGGGGCTTGGTGATGTTTTACAATTGTTAACACCGCTATCGATCGCTTTTTTAGTGATTAAGCTAATTGAAACACACACAAACAAAAAAGCCAATAGACAAAAATGGCTTCTTGTCCTAATGTAAACAATGCAGCTTAATAATTAAGTGGTTTGGTGTTGAGCTTTCACAGACTGCTAGAACTATGAAAATACATGCATTGATGAATTAATCTTCCCTCTATCAACTGTTTTCTTGTAAATAACTGAACAATTTTGATTTTGGGGCTTTAAAAGTGGTCTTCTGTTGAAGCAGTCACAGCTGGTAAACATACTGAATGCATTGATGAAGAGGGGTCACAAGTGGAAGTTGTTTTGTTTTGATTTGCCAAAAAGCTTGGAAACTATTGCCCTACACTGTGTTTGCTGTACATTGTTCCATCCAATGAAATTTGAAATAAAACAATTGTGAATTCAGCATTCAGACGTCCTGAGTTATTAGCTGATATATTTGGGCATGGCATTTTGTCACAGCAGTGTTAGATGGTTTAAATTGCACGTCTTTGGTGCCAGTGGAAAAGTGGGAGACACTTTTCACTTCTTTTATCTGAGCTACAATCTTCCACCAAACAAACAAACAGAAAGTAAGCAAATGTTGCCTCGGTTCAGTCCAGTTTTTCGGATGTTTCACAACTGATATCTCCCATTTGTTTAAGCACTTGGCATGATGCCCCCACAAAACAAGAAAAAACGTAATTTAACACCAGACATATAACAACCTTGCCATGAAAATAAATTCTTGATAGTAGAAACATATTGCAATACTTCCTATTTTAAAAAACAACATCACCTCACACACTCCATTTCATTCTCTGCTTCACATCAAATAGAAAAATAAACTTACATGCCGGACATGGTAGCTCTGCAGCCCTTCCTCCCTAGCTCTCTTTCTCTCCGTCATTTTCTTCATCTGTCTCTCTTTCTCTCACATCCTCCTACTCATCCTCTTTGTGTGTGTGTGTGTGTGTGGGTGTGTGTGTGTGTGTGTGTGGGTGTGTGTGTGTGTGTGTGTGTGTGTGTGTGTGTGTGTGTGTCTCCTCCGCTAAACTCGCCCTCGAGCTTTCTTCACCCTCTCCCTCTCTGCTGATTGGCCACAGCAGTGAAGTGTGTGATTTACTGGCTCCTTCACCTAACAGATGTTTAGGTGAGCTTCAACACACTCACACACACACACACTCACACACACACACACATATATCGAGCAGTGGTGTAGAGTTATGTCTGGTAGCCTCGGGGGTTTAAGGGTGATGATGACACACACACAAATCCAGGCTAATGTTTACATGTGTGTGTAAAAGGGGTGTGTACGTGCACTGAGGTCAAAGGTTAGGTAAGCCTCAGAGTTGACAAGGCGATAGGATGTGTTAGGGTCAAGACCTCGCATACACACACAGGCGTGCATACAAAGAGGTACACACTACTGTCACGTGAGATAGTTTAGAGTAACAGAAAGAAGAAGAAACTAAAGATGACTGAGTGTATATTGGTGTTGAAGGATAACCGTGATACTTTAAAATGAAATAATGATAATGTTCAGGTTCATATTTGTATTTAGTGTCTCTACTATGACATGTCTCCATGCTTTAATGTTCAAAAAGCTCTTTATTTGTCTCATACTGCCTGTGCTGCAGCACCTCTTTTCACCCTCTGTCTGAAACCAGAGCCCAGTCTGCTCTAATTGGTTAGCTGGTCAGCTCTGTTGTGATTGGTCAACCACTTAGAGATGTCCCGCCCCTAAGCCTGTCACGTACAATGTGTTGGAGTGCTAGCCAATAGAATCGTCAGTGTTACATAGTGATGTCACTATGTAACACTGGTGAGGCGTTTCAGGAAGGGGGGATTTTTATCCTTTGCAGACATTTACATGCACAAAAACCTATATAACAGGAAATGGAAAACTCATATAAGTTAATAGAGCCCCTTTAACAAGGATACAAAAGATGTATTTTGGTGAAAAACACTCAATGTAATCATATTTTTTAAAAGGTCCGTTGTTAGTGATTCTTTGGTTTGTCATTGATCAGATCTAATGTAAGAAACATTCAGATATTTTTTTCAGAGACTAACACTGCGGTTCTGCACTTTACGCCGTGTGGTTAGAGGTGAAAACAAGGTCACAGATGAGTGTGTGTGCAGCGTGTGTGTGTAGTGTGTAGCGTGTGACTTGCTAAATTAAATCAGCGCGAAATTAGGTTAAGTCAGTGTTTTTCTTTGTGAGGGAGAAATAAAAGACCCCCCTAATATACCCACTGCACCCTCAGTACTCCCCAGTATATATTGTTGGCTGTAACTTAAGACCTGAAGTGCAAAGATGCCAGATCTTTTTTTTTAAATCCCAAAATTGGAGAAGGCTTTACAGAGGTGAGCAGATTTGCTTCAGGCAGCGGAGAGATGGGATGCTGATGTTAACAGCTGGCTGCAATTCAACTGACGGAGCAAACACACACACTCAGGCACAAACCTGGAGCTGGTTAACCTTTGTCACTGAATTCAACACACACACACACACACACACACACACACACACACACACACACACACACACACACACACACACACACACACACACACACACACACACACACACACACACACACACACACACACACACACACACACACACACACACACACACACACACACACACACACACACACACACACACACACACACACACACACACACACACACACATTTTTGTTCATTATGATAATATTTATGTCCATCCAACACACACTGAAAGAGGACAAGTTCAAACAAGACAAAGAGGAAACTGCCGTGTCTCTTCCTCTCACACACTCATAACCTACTTCACACACTCCTTCATATCAATGTGTTCTAGCCAGCACTGCCTGTCAATCAACCTGAATGACTTTCTCTCTCATGACCACACACACATCCTGTCTCTCTCACTCATTTCACTTTCACGTTTTTCTTCATACACACACTTTCTTGCATCTACAGATATGAACTCAAACACATTCAATTTCCATGTTAACATGTTGCAGCACAGTAGTGTAATATCAATTAATGGTATTACATAATAGTATATACATAAGTATAGTATACATAAGTGTATAAATAGTACAAAACATCTCCAGGAATTAATTTGTATGATCCCCTCTTTCTTTTTATTGGAGTAAATAGAACATTTAACACAAAAAAACCAAGATATATCAAGTTTTTTTAACACATTTCTTAAGATATCACCCAATACTAAGCATCTGTTGTAAATCCCTGTTATTTGACCTATACTGCATTTTGGATGTTTAACAATATGCAGCTATGGATCCAACTGAAAAGCTAGTCAGTGAGGTAAACAAAGATATTAACATGTAGCCTCCATCATCCTTTTCAATCAAGCCCAGTTTATTATGATTTAGGTGTTAACTTGAGGCGTTTCATTCTTATTTGGCTTCCTGGAAGAAAAAAAAAGCCTCCTTGTTCCTGTCGTATTAATTGACAGAGACATGTTTCTTTCCCACCTCCATCTTCCAGCGGCTCAGCAATTCTTCTTTCCGTCTCCTGCTGATGTAGTACGGATCTCCAGCCTGGAAAGTCACTCTGGGGACCGGCCTCCTCCGCAGCCTGCCAGCCTCAACCTGCACACACACACACACACACACACACACACACACACACACACATACAAAACACTTGTTATATGCATTCTTTTAATTCAGCTTGTACTATAATATAATAATTTTTCGTAAGCAGAGTAGTTTTCTTACCTCTCCAGGGGAGTCGCAGTTTCTGTCGTCTGGCTCGTCTGCAGGAGGAGGAACTATACAGGAAATGGCCCATTTGTACAGATTTAACAAGAGGTTTAATGAGGATCATGGTTTTCATCACTTTCCCCCGGCATCCATATTTAAAGTCGAAAATGCCCTCAAACACTGCAATCTGGAAGTTATTTACACAATTAAAATGTCACGTAAAGTCCTCTTGAAGACATTACTTCGTATAAAGAAGACACTTCATGTTTGTAACTTTTCATATCCTTAGCTGTTGTGTAAAAAAAATGGACATCTTGATTACTGCATAAACGGGCAAAGCCATATTATTTTAGGAATGATATGACTTTGTATAAAATCTATACCCTTATTCTTCTCGGTTTGCTCTAGTTTCCGACGCCCGCGCTTCTTGCGAGGCGAGGGGGAGGGCGCAGAGTCCTCAGGCGGGGTGGGGGGTGCGTTTGCACAGGGGTCAGAGGTCGCCATCTCCTGGGAAACAGACGGAGCACAGTCTAGGTCTGAGAAAACTGCTGCTGGCCCTCGTCTGGACTCATCAAAGGAATAATAACCGTACACACACACATTTACAGGCCTTACACACACATAAAACTTGTGCAAACACACCGAATCAAAGAGCTACTGCAGTACAAGCGCATACTTAATAGTCTGCCCTTGTTAGTACAATGCAGAGCAGGTACGCCCAGCAGAGTGTGTCTGCGTTGGATCAGTATAATAAACGCCAACAGCTCCCATTAACACACACACAAACACACACTCTTATGAGATGAGATGGGGAGTGTAGTTATCAGGGCTAATGATTCATGTGGGAGAAACTCTTAAATTATCCTGAAATTAAATATAAAGTTAATTAATCTTAGAAATAATCATCTTTGAAAATCAAAAAAAGCTTTTAAGATGTCATACTTTTCAAACAGAAATGTTGTAATTACGCGACGCGGTTTGTTTAATTATGCACTCTAACAATCTCCTGTCTCTAATTCAATGGTTTATTCATTAGCTCACTAGCTTTCATGATGCTAAACTCTGATCGTGTTTCCGCTCTGAAAGGCCAGCAGGATTTTCTTCTGTGTGTGTGTCGATGACAGATTTTATTGATGTAATAGAAAGCGCAGAGCCGGGGTGAAAGTCAAGCTCAAAGGCTGCGCTAACGGTAGCTGCGCTAACAAGCCCACAAAGGCTGTAATGAGCAGGTGAGAAGGCCTGTAAAAAGGCAGAGAACACAAAAGGTGACGAAAAGAGCCTCGGGATAAACTTAACGACACCAACACACGCTTTTAACACTGTGTTGTTAAACAGGCGCACAATTTAGATACATATGCGGATGTTTTTAGTCCCAAAACACAGCACTGGATACAACTGTATATTTTGTACTGACGTTTGCCCTTTTGTTCAATAGTTGCAAATAGCCATGTGCATGTATAAGGCCATTTGTTTTGCTACTGAATCAACCAATATAATGAAAGCAGGGTAAACCTCTTAAATACAGCTGTGTTTTAATGTCTAAAGTCTGCATATTGGGGCGACTGTGGCTGCGAGGGAGTGCGGTCGTCTTTCAACCAGAAGGTTGTGGGTTCGATCCCAGCCCATGCAGTCAACATGTCGATGTATCCTTGGGCAAGATACTAAACCCTGAGTTGCTCCCGATGGCATGGCCAACGGTGTGTGAATGTTAGGTCCTAGAGTAAAGTACACTGCTCTGTATGAATGGGTGTGAATGGGTGAATGACATGTAGTGTGTAAAAGCGCTTTGAGGGGTCTTAAAGACTGGATAAAGCGCTATATATATAAGTACAGTCCATTTACCATATAGTTGACACTGCAGACCTTTAGCTGTGTGTTTTTAACACTGCACTTTTTTACAGCGATTGCAGTAGATACTATAGGTCTCCTTAACGTGTGTTTTAACGGTGTAAAAATGTATACATGTTCTAATAAATAGCAGAGAAGCTGCATGTGTGAAAAGATGTTGGGAGGCGTGTGGCGCAGTGGGTAGTGCGTTGGTGTTTGGATCAGGGGAGCACAGGTTCAAACCCCACTGCAGTCAGCATGTCGTTGTGTCCCTGGGCAAGACACTTCACCCCAAATTGCTCCTGTGGGGATTGTCTCCAGTATTGAGTATGTAAGTCGCTTTGGATAAAAGCGTCTAACATGTAACATGTCATGTAATGTTGGGACAAAAGTTTGAAAAAAGAAAAGTGATGTGACTTGATTGGAAAGATAAAAAAGACATTTCTGTTTATAGCATTTCATCCATAAATCTTAATAATTGCAGGAAACATAAAATACACAAAACATTCGAACAAAATTAATAAAAGCAGTAAGCAACTAAAGTCAACAATTCAAGCCAAGTTGTTGAAATCAGTGTAAACTTGCTATGTAAAAAAACAACCAGTAGCTTTGAAAATATATACATTATCGACACATAAATAATAAATTAGCTCACATGGTTTAAAAACTGTGCACACAAAACAAAAATAATGGTATGGATTTACCAAGATGAATGTTTATTTATCATTAATTAAAAATGAGTGCACCAGTTTGAATATCTTTGAGAACACACGGTCTTAATATGAATTGGTTAAACCTCTAAATGAACTTAAAGCTGCATTAAGCAATGAATTACCATTACAGTACGAGGCATAAAGACTCTGACTCTTAGCTAACTTTTAAGCAAACAACTGACTACTTACACATTCAGCAGAAACAGAGGAATCTGGACTCGCAGTCATCTTTTTGGCCACATGTTGAATGTAAATTCAATTCAGCTCCTGAGAGAAATATCTCGATGTCATTGGATTTTCTAAATGCGCGACGTTTCTTCAGCCACTTCACCTTTCCGCCATTTTACGCTGAACAGGAAGTGTACAACTGGCTTTTGTGTGAGTCAATTGTTCACTTCCTGTAGTGAGAGTTCATGCATTTGTCAGGTTTCACTTAGGCCCGTGAACTAAAAGTATTACTTTGATGAGTCTGCACGCTGCAGACTGCACGATACAGAAAGTCATTCGATTCAGTCTCACTATAGAAGGTATTGCTTAATGCAGCTTTAGTTGAATGGACAGAATTGAAAGATTAAGACACATACAAGTAGTCTATTAGCACACACATTGCCTCCTGCATTTACACCGTCTTCTTGTTGTCTTTCACCCTTAAAAGCACCTCCTCTTTTCTCAGCATCTACCCTTGATCTTAAATGACAGACAGTGGAAAGTACCAGACTCTACTCACTAACCTGATATGTGTTCAAAATAAAGCTATCCAACCGTGGGCAGTTTTTTTGGTTGGATGAAACTTTGATGATACTCAAGGGGAGGCAGAAGAGGGAGCAGGATGTGGCGAACAATAAAACAATAGTGCACTAGAAATAGGCAAAATAATCACACTAACCTCAAACAGCAAATTATAATGCATGCAAGGCCAAAATGTTTTGTAGCTGTTTTCAATATCTGTCTGACAGGTGGAGGATACACACATGTTTTTGATATAGTAGTTAAAGTCACGGTAGACATTAATTTTTTTCCACATTATGTTTTGGATGTTACATGACGTCTAAACTTAACGTGTTTAAGCTTTGCTCTGATTTGCATTAAGTCGGACAGAAATAAAATGATTTTCTTTCTTTTATTTGTTTTTGCTAGTCAACTCTAGTTCTTTCTAGGTCATGTGGCCAAAGTAGCTATCCCTTGTTTCTAGATTAACTACATTTTCAAGCTATCTAATAATTAAGTTATTTTTAAGATAAAGCCAGCAGCAACTTCACAAAAAGAGAAAAATCATAAGAAACCTTAAAATGTACCCAAAATTTGAAATCTCTAATGATTACTTTGACCATTTCCTTGCATAGAGTAAGAGTAGAATTAATCAGGTACACAAACTAATGCCATGTCTACTATACAAACATCATAATGTTCATGCTTGGTGGAATTGTTTTCGAGATGAGTTGTTTGTGTTGCTCTTTAATTAAGAAAGAGAGAGAGAGAGAGAGAGAGAGAGAGAGAGAGAGAGAGAGAGAGAGAGAGAGAGAGAGAGAGAGAGAGAGAGAGAGAGAGAGATTTGAGAGTTGCATAAGAACTGGTAAGATAGCAGGGTTTCCCACACATAAACTTTACAAAGTATAATTCGTGAGCCCTTTAGGTTTAATTTTTTGTATCCTTCCGCGAACACGACGGCATCTGCGATCCCTCGCTATCGCGTGAAGGGTCTGCTTTATGCACTCCGCACAGTAACCCCGCTGCGAGGCTCCGGCGAACAGTTCATGAGCGTGCTCACTAGCGCACCTCCCCCCCCCCCCCCCGTTCATAAAGTCAAGAACCCCTCAAAAGGTACGGTTTATTTCATTTTAAGGATGCACACCAAGCAACATCTCCAGGTGCTCCTTTGAGAACCAGGGCAAAAAAGTGATGTGCACCCCTGATTATAATATATATTTTTCATTAATAATGAATTTGCTGATTATTTTCTCAATTTAATATGTTAGAGAATAGTATAAAGCGGTGTGTATATTTGACCCCAGCCCAGGGTAGCTGTGTGTAAAACAGAAGAAAGGATGAAGAAAATATGAGAGTATAAATATATATCCAGTGTTTGAGGATTGCTGGTTGAGTTTACATGTAACTATAACTACAGGAATAAACAAACAAACATTTGTATGAAGAGTAAGTGTAAGTGAGAACTGTTTGACGTAAATTGCACTAATCAGTCAGATTTAACAGACAACATACTTCTCTCATAAACAGCCGCCAACTACTTCAGAGCAAACCTGCCTTAAGTTAAAACACAAATTAAGTGTCCAATTAGGATCAGGGAGCTGCAATAATCATTCAAAAGATGTTTACTTCTGCTCAGACATTTCATTTAGAGCAAAAGCTAGACACCATTCATTGTAGGCTATCTTAAAAAGACATAAGATCAAATCTTATTTCTCTCAGTAAAAATGGAAAATAGGTTGAAATAAGGTCTGTGGTTGACACACATTTAAGAGACGGATCACGTTTTGTTCAGTCGGATAATCTCCACATGTCTACCCTACTTTTATCATTTTCAAATCATAAATCTAATCGATAGATTTATGATCGATAGATTTATGATTCGAGATCATATGGTCCTTATTTCGAGCTATTTTCCAAAATCCTATGGAGAAATTGCTTGCTTTTTTGTCGAGGGAACCGGAAGAAGCTTACTTCCGGGTTTTAGGACGCGTCACTGTGGCACTCTATGACCTTTACAAAATGTGTCAGAAAGTTGGTTGTATCAGTGTTATTTTAACATAGTAGAATATGTTTAAACTAGTAAATACCAAACAACAACACAAAATGGGTTACTGGCAATGTTAGTTGTTAAAAAAAAAAGTCTCTTAACTACATTTTTTCTACCAGACACTTTTGTACATACTCTGGAAACACAGACACAGATCCCAGCATGTTTCTATGACCTCGGTGGTTTGGGAGCAAAACGGAAAACACCAAAAGAAACCAGATTGAGCTTCAGAAAAGCCATCATCAAATGTCAAGTCATGCCTAAGATCTCAGGTTTCACATGGCGGTTCCAGTAATTATAGTTCAGCTTTACTGTGGATAAAATCTAGCTATTAGGGTGCATACAAAAGGTGACTGTTGCTAAGAGGGGATTTTTATGTAAAGCCATAACATAAATGTTGGGAAAGTTGGCAAAATATCTCTTAAATCCTACTGTAACACACACACACACACACACACACACACACACACACACACACACACACACACACACACACACACACACACACACACACACACACACACACACACACACACACACACACACACACACACACACACACACACACACACACACACACACACACACACACACACACACACACACACACACACACACACACACACACACACACACACACACACACACACACACACACACACACACAATTGAAGCGAAGGAAGTTACCGACACCTACTGTCAAAAAATTCTGCCAGAAAGAATAAGAAGCAAAGAGCGTGTAAGGTAAAAGGATGGAAGCTTGAAATCGTTTAGGGGCCATGAAGCTAAACCACTTATCCATGTATGTGTACACAGGTGAGTGTGTGTGTGTGTGTGTGTGTGTGTGTGTGTGTATGTGTGTGTGTGTGTGTGTGTGTGTTTTCTTGAGAGGAAGGTGAATCAGAGAAAGAAAGGCTCACTCCATCGCTGCTATTGGTGTCACTGTCAGCTCCACACAATGGCTCTATTCCTCCATACAATCCGCTGTATGTGTGTGTGGGAGTGTGTGTGTGTGTGTGTGTGTGTGTGTATGTGTGTGTGTGTGTGTGTGTGTGTGTGTGTGTGTGTGTGTATGTATGTGTGTGTGTGTGTGTGTGTGTGGGTGTGTGTGTGTGTGTGTGTGTGTGTCAGCCATAGGTTTCACGGAAAATTGAGTTTCTGATCGCCCAGTTTAAGGGGAGGTTGGGTTCAGAAAGTTCATAAAACAAACATAAAAGAGAGAGAGACAGATAATTAAGTTGGTTGAACAGACAAAAATACAGATTATAGTGTCTTTGTACAATCCTTATTCCTACTATGCTGTACTACTTTTTCCACTTCTACTACTTTTTTACAACTCCAGCTAGTAACACCGTCATTGTACTGGTACCAATAGAGTGGTGCAGTGACGAGTCCTAAAACCAGGAAGTGAGTTCGCATTTTACCACTACCGGTTCCCTCGTCTCAGAGCCAATGGGATTTCTCCATAGGATTTTGGAAAATAGCTGGAAATAAGGTCTGTGGTTGAGACACATTGAAGAGACGGATCACGTTTTGTTCTACGACATTAAATACATCAGCAGAGACCCCACTGGTGATTTCTGAAGAGTTTACGTGTCTGAAAAACGATGGTTGTTAACAAGTGGCTGAATAGGACTACAGAAGTTGTGGAGGACGCTGTACGTCATTACGCCGAACACGTAAACACTCTCTCTAAGTTTGTTTGCCCTGTTCTGCTTGAAAGCAAGTACCTGCCTCCTGCAAACTGTTCAAACAAACGCTTCAACTTGTACAATGTGAAATCTGTATTCTTGAATATCGATCTTAAGTTGGCGTGACGTTGAAGTTGTGCTGCTGTACTCGGCTGTAGTTCGTTTATAGCATAACGTTAGCATTTTGCTTCTGGCGATTAGATTTATGATTAGAAAATGATAAAAGTAGGGTAGACATGTGGATATTATCCGGCTGAACAAAATGTGCATTTATCAAACAGGTTCGTTTTCCACAGACCTTATTTCGAGCTATTTTCCAAAATCCTAAGGAGAAATCCCATTGCTTTTTTGTCGAGGGAACCCATGCGCAGCTTATTTCCGGGTAAATACGTCATCCCTGCACCACTCTCTTGCTACTATAACTAGGGCTAATATTTTACCATAACAACTCTTATTTCACCTAATAATTAATAATACTAATGTAGTACTGTTACTAATACCATTAATAATCCTCAAAAAGTTTTCTAATACTACTAACATAACTACTGCTACATGTAGTACTATGATTGATGGTGCTACTAGAAGTGCAGAACAAACACTAATTTCTATAACATGCAGACCTTTGGTTGCATGAACCATGTGTGTTTTATCTGCAGCCATGTGTGTGTTACTGTATATGTCCATGTGCGTGTGTGTGCGTGTGTGACAGGACCAGCATTTATCCTGCCAGCCTTGTCAGAGCTCAGACATCAAAGCATGATCAGACATGCTCTCCTGCATACATGAAAGCACACACACACATGCACACACACACACATACACAGTAGATAACTCACTACAGTTCACTCGGTATACCTTTCTGTCCAGGGTTGTTTGATCAGCTATATTGACTTGCTGATTCGACCACAGAGTTCAGTCAGAACAAAAACACTATGCCCCACACACACACACACACACACACACACACACACACACACACACACACACACACACACACACACACACACACACACACACACACACACACACACACACACACACACACACACACACACACACACACACACACACACACACACACACACACACACACACACACACACACACACACACACACACACACACACACAAGGTGAGCGATAAGAGGATGAATAGAGAAAGAAACATGGAGGAGAGGAGCTGGCAGAGACCTGAGGTCACGGAGAGTGAACAATTATTTGTGTCATTACTGTAATAACGCAGCTCACTCAGATTATTGCTGCTGGCTGAAAGGTGACTGGAAGGTTGCCAGTTTAAAACCCAAAAGTCGCTTTTACCTCGTCTGAAAGTTACAGTCCCCAATTTCAACATTTGCTCAAACGTAATGACCAGTGATCAATCAAAGCATTGCACAAATTAAAGATATCATTCTTTCGTGAGTCAAGGTCTCCCAAAACATGTTTTCTAAATGCTAGCCCCAATACAAATACAAAAAAAGTATGTACGGTTACATTTGAACTAATTTCAGCGGTGGAGGTTAATTTTTCTGGCATCCTTTGTTTTATTTTCCAAATACATTTGACTTACATATTTTAATCCTCTCAGAGTGTTGCTTGCTTAATGTGCCACATTCTGAGCATAAGCCATTATTTTAAAGATCACAATGTTATGATAACCAATCAAAAATATATGGCCAGAGTCTTATTAAATTAATTCTAATAAATCTTATCTTAAAACCCTCTTTAAAATCCTCTTAAAGCAAAGTGGAAACAGCAGGAACTTTATACGATAAATGTGGGGAACGGTGCCAGACAGATAAGTGAAAAAGATGACAAAATGATATGGAAATGAAGCCTACATGTTAAAAAGAGAGAATATGCATTGACTGTAAAGCTCTGCAAAACAGTCAATGCAGAGGGAATCCCTTAAACTAAAATATACTGCTGGTAAAAAGAAAACAAGTCACAATGTACCACGTAAAAGCAGAGAAAAGCTGCTGCGAGATGTCAAGTGCTCTTTCAACACACTCATATGTGACAATTATTGCAGTAAGTGTGTTCTCAGATTGATGTGTTATTAATAAAAGCTGGGCTAACTGCCACTGAAGCAGCTTGCAGGTGTGAAACCATAATGTGAAGCAGAGTGTTGCATGCTTTACATATCTTTTCAGGGGAGGCGGGGGGGGGGGGGGTTGTATAGGTGAATAAGGTGATCAATCACTCTGTGTGGAGGATAAAAAAAGGCCAACGAAAGCCTGTAATTACAGTACTCACAGGAAGCAGCTGTTTGCGTTTCCTGCCGGGACGACCCACTCTGCGCTTGGTGCGGGGACTCGCTGGCGTCCCCTCCTCTGGACTGTCATGGTCTGCTCCATCTTCAATCTGGACAATTACAGAGAAGCATCGTCAAACACTGAGCCAATCCAAAGACTGTATGAAGCTATAATTGGTGTCAATTAAGTCATGATTCAGGGAGATGTGGATAACAAGCAGTTACTGAAAAACAGGATGCAATTAAAACATATTGTAGCATATAATATTTTTTTAGAAAGACAAATTACCTTGTCTAGTGACCTAGCTCTAAAGGTTCAAGGTTCAAGGCTTTTATTGGTCATGCGTACATAGCTACAGTGTAGTTATGACGATGAAAATCTTAGGTCACAGGCTCCTCCAACAGTGCAACATAATAAAACAGAAAAAATTGTGTAAGTAAATACAAAAAGAAAAATAGTAAAAAAAAGTGGAATAGTGCAATAAGAGTCTATATGCTAGTGATTGAATATCATATATTAGATAAACAATTTCTAAATTGCAGCCAGATTAATGTTGTGGATGTTGCTTCAAAAGTGCAGGTGTTTAACAGTCTTATGGCCTGTGGGATGAAACTGTCCCTGAGTCTGGTGGTTTTAGTTATAGTGAATTCAATTTTGTATACTAATGTTTATAACCGTAAATACCGTTCATACTGAACATACTTAACCTCATTTTATCTGTCATATTTCAATACTTAGAATATATTATACTTTACACTGTACTTTACTGCTCCTTTTTGCATTTCCTGGTTAGATGCTAACTGCATGTTGTTGTGTCAGTACTTGTAATCTGTGCATTCACAGGAAGGAAGTCTACTCTAAGAAGATGAACCGATGACCATTTTAAAAACAGTATGTTAAACTTAGATCTCAAGATTCAGCTGAGTTATGATGAAAAAAACAAAGACATTCAATTTAGATCATTATTTGCGGTCCAGTGAAAACCTTGATGACATAATACCTTTTTCCTGCGCGGCCTTGTATCGATTGCTTAAGTGAACCTAAATAAACTTGTCTCAGCAGTTTGTTCCTTTGCTCGTATCACAGCAGAGACAAAGTGGTTCGATACAGCAGAGATTAGAATAGCATCGGTGTAATTTTACAGTGTATTGCAGACCATTTACATACATTTACATTTAAACCTATATAAACAAACTACAGGAAAGGAAAAGCCCCAAAAAGCAGTATAGGGCCTCTTTAAATATATCTGTACACATTCAGACAAGGCCCTAAAACTGAGCTGCTTCCACTACTTCTACTTTGTTTATGTTTCCTAACAGCGCCACTTCACATGTTTTAATGACTGTAAGATACAGTGCACTCTTTTGTTGTATGTATACTGTAAAAGGAGAGCCTGTCATGTTTAATATTATAATAACATCCGCTTTTCTCTACTGTCTTTTATGCTATAATCATTTCGTCATCGGTCTGAACTCAGAGTGAGGTATTGTGTTCCCATTAATGTCTTCCTCTCTCTCTGATGGACCCAGTATTGCGGTGACAGTGGAGTGGTTGCTAAGGTGAAAGAAACTGCTTAGCAACTGTCTCCGACCGGGCACCATGCTGACTAAACATTTGGATGTCACTTCCCTGACGATCAGCATAGCAACCAGTTAGAACGGGGTAATGGGCCCTGAGCCTCGACTGCCTGGTGTTTTGTCCATATGCCTGAGTCACGACGCACACTACATTTACAAACACATAATAACAACGGAAAGGGAGTCAATTATGTACTAAGAGTGGATAGTTTAAAAAATAAATCTAGAAAATTAGGAGTCTATCTCATATTCTATATATATATTCTGTGTCTTATCATCTGATGTTAATTTGGACAGCAGTTACAAAACAAATGTGGATTCATGTATGTGAAAACATTAGGAGGCTATTAAGAGATATAAACATCACTTTAAAGGGATTGTGCAATTATTTTAAAGGAGGGTTGTATGAGATACGTTTCCATAATCAGTGTTTTCACTACAGTATAAACCCCACGATTGTTGAGAAAAATCAAAGAGGAGCGGCAGAAAACGAATCAATGTTCTGCTGTGGATGGGTGCATTAAAAGAACTTGAATAATCCACCCTTAAAAATCGATATAAGTGTACACCATATACAAATATTTGTACGGCTTTAACTTGCCGCCCGACCCTAATTCGGATATCTATGCTATACGCTCTTATCATTATTATTATTATTAGTAGTAGTAGTAGTAGAAGCAGCAGTTGTAGTAGTAGTAATAGTAGTAGTAGTAGTTCTAAGCAGTAGTTGTAGTAGTATAAGTTGTAGTAGAAGCAGTAGTAGAAGTAGTAATAGAAGCAGTAGTAGAAGCAGTAGTAGAAGTAGTAGTAATAGAAGCAGTAGTAGAAGCAGTAGAAGTAGTAGTAGTAGTAGTAGCAGTAGTAGAAGCAGTAGTAATAGCAGTAGTAGAAGCAGTAGTAGTAGTAGCAGTAGTAGAAGCAGTAGTAGAATCAGTAGTAGTAGTAGCAGTAGTAGAAGCAGTAGTAATAGCAGTAGTAGTAGTTCTAAGCAGTAGTTGTAGTAGTAGAAGTTGTAGTAGAAGCAGTAGTAGTAGTAGCAGTAGTAGAAGCAGTAGTAGAAGCAGTAGTAATAGAAGCAGTAGTAGAAGCAGTAGTAGAAGCAGTAGTAGTAGTAGCAGTAGTAGAAGCAGTAGTAATAGCAGTAGTAGTAGTAGTTCTAAGCAGTAGTTGTAGTAGTAGTAGCAGTAGTAGAAGCAGTAGTAATAGAAGCAGTAGTAGAAGCAGTAGTAGAAGCAGTAGTAGTAGCAGTAGTAGTAGTTCTAAGCAGTAGTTGTAGTAGTAGAAGTTGTAGTAGAAGCAGTAGTAGAAGTATAAGTAGTAGTAATAGTAGTTGTTGTAGTAGTAGTAGTAATAGTAGTTGTAGTAGAAGCAGTAGTTGTAGTAGTAGTAGTAGAAGTAGTAATATAAGCAGTAGTAGAAGCAGTAGTAGAAGCAGTAGTAGAAGTAGTAGTAGTAAAGAAGTACTAGTGGTTTTACTATTATTATTTGTATTGTTGATGTTTGTTTGATTTGTTGACCAGGGTGTGACAATGTTTACACAAAAATAAAAACGAATTACAAGCAAAAACAAATTGTACCAAAGGTAAAATATAAACCAACAGAGTTGTAAAACCACTAAATACAAAATCCCTACAAGAACAAATGTCCACACAAACAAACGCTCACTGGCCAATCTGTCCGAACATCTTTGGTCTATTTCTGTCTCTGCAGGTTATTTCAGGCTGCTGCAGTTGCTAGGCAACCAGACTGCAAACCAGGCGAGCAGCAGACAGCTCGTCCTCTTTCTCTCCTCCTCATCCTCGCTCCGTCTCACTCCTGTTTCCTGTGTCTCCCTCCACCTTTGCTCTCTGTTTCTCACTTTGAATCCACCACTCAACTCATCAATAATGGATAAGGTTGTCAACAAAACAAATACTACACTTCAAATGTTGCTCGCAGCCATACAAATACACGACAATTAAACACATACAGTAAGTAGCACGGAAGATGTCACTTTTTGCTAAAATAATAATAATTGTACACATCCATCTGCATTTAATGCTCTGATTTGATCAAATTCAAACAATTATGGAGTGACAGTTAAACGACAAATTGATCATTCTTTAGCGCCATCCTCCCCTGGTTATTGTAATAATACTGACGCGATTTAGAAGAAATAATAGTCAAATATACAACAACAACAACAACTACGGCTTCTTGTGTTTCAGAGTTGGTATAAACAACGTCATACTCTCTGTCAGGATACTGGGGGCAGGGGTCACAAAAGGATTGTGTAGCTTTTACAGCTGCTAAACCTACACCAATACACTAAAACACAGTAAGAGACACCTTGTAATTCTAAAAGCAAAATGCGTTGCTAACATCGCTGCCAAGCAAATAGCATCTAAGTGCTCCTGTTCTATTTGCATGTATTACAAATTGGAACATGCAGATATTTGCTTCAAAACTGGCGCTTTTCTATGCCAATGATCATCATTGACTTACATATTTTAATCTTCTTAAAGATCAGCTCTTATAGCTATACGCACTGACAGCAAAGTTATTAGCATTTTCAGAGAGTTGTAGGAAGGTAACTAATGTGAGCTCCCTCAGCTTAACGTCACTCACCATCATCGTAATTATTATATACAAGCATCAATTATTTTAGCTATCTAAAGTCTAAAGAGCAGTACATTTTGGGGTGTTTGAGTTCAGTAGGCTCACATCTCATGAGCAAAGATTCTTGCTAATGTAGTAAACATCCCAAGATCTCTCAGATAGACGAAATCAACATGTTATGAAGTTGGAACACTACATACTCAATTGGACGTCGTACCATGTGTGAATAGTTTGTTATCAAGCAGTTTCAAACACACCCTCTGACTCTCTTCAGGCTTTTTTTTTTTTTTACTGTTTGAGAGTTCAGTCACAGGAAGTTAAAAAAACAAGAAAAAAATCTTTAAAGGGAAACTTTGTACTTGTTGGCTGTTTGCCAGGCGTGTGAATGTGGAAGTAAGGCGGCTCTTTATATAGCAGCACCATAGAATCAACTTCAAACTTCTCACAGATTTATTAAGGCTGCCCTGGGCTCGGGGAAATGAAAGGAGCCCTTTTTCACTCAGTGTATGTCAGACCATTTAATGTGTGTGTGCTCATTTGTGTGTAAAAGAAACCCTGCTCTCGTCTCACCTGCATATGGTCGCGTGAATGTGTAGAATGCAGAAAATCCGGGTGTGAATGTAAATAAATAACTCTTAGTTTAACTATTATAGACACACACACACAGACACATTGTTCTTTGCCAGCTTCTCTGTGTGTGTTGGCTAAAGAAATCTCTCAACTGCCAGATAAAGCAGTAGTGGAGGTAATGATAGCTGTAGTAAATGTGCTAGAGGTTGTAATAATATATGTGGCTTTAAAATAGCTGTAGTAGTAATATGATATACGAGAAGGAGCAACAACAACAGTCATATAAGTAATGGTAGTGACAGCAGAACAAGCTGAGATAGTAGGACCTATTATGCTCTTTTGAGTTTTCCCTTTACTCTGTATTGTGTTGTATAGGTTTTTGTGCATGTAAATGGTCTGCAAAGGCTTAAATCCCAATAATCCACTTCCATTTACAACCCTATGCACAAAGGGACATGTTTTATATTTAATGCAAAACTATTTGATGGATGATGTTACAGAATAACAAGTTTATTATGAGCCACAATCGAAACGACTCAACAGTATATTATCTTCTGTGCAATCTACGCAACTGTACAACATGTATGAAAATCTCAGTTTAAGAATATTTGTTGGGCTTTTTTTCTTGAATGGCTAGACTACTTTAAAGGTCACCTATCATGCTATTTTTAGGAAATAGCATCGGTCTCAGATATATAAAAAATATATAAAAAAACATGTCTATGAAGTGTTTTGCTCAAAACACCAAACAGATCACCCATTCTAGCCATGCCTCATATCCCTCTATTTCACTTCCTGTTTCAAAAGTGCTGATTTGGGGTATAAAGCTTTAAAATAAAAAAGAATTGATCAAAAATAAAAAAAGGAGGGGGCTGAGCTCATGCGGGACCCGGCAGCTACTGTCTAAACTAAATACTGCCGTGATGAAACGCCATATCATGGATTATCAAGGATTATTTCTGAAACAGTATGGAGCTCAAAGGCTTTCTCTCTTGCCGGTTATACCACAAGGTGAGTTCCTTTTTATTTCCTGCTTCTTCAGACACATGCTCTCCAGTACAGGTTAGCTCTGAGTGTTAGCGATGCTAATGTAAACACTGACCATATTACGTCCAAAACAGTTGGGCATTGTTTCTGATAGCAACTTTCTGATAGGGCCGTGGGTCCACATTTCAGATATTACGTCATATCGGACGCAAATCTGGATCAGTTCCGTTGTAGCCCCGTTTTTAGAGATTTGGGTACGGAGGAGAGAGGGTTTTATTTTCTGACGCTGCGTGAGTTCCCTGACACACCTGGGACACATATTTATGTATAAAAAACATCAAAAAGTGCATTTTGCATGATAGGTACCCTTTAACTTTGAATACTTGTTATAACATTGTATAGGGTTTTGAGAGTGCAAATGAGGAAATGATTAGTGTTTTTTGTGTTTTATTTTTAATAAATCAATAGCTAGTCATTTTAAAACTAGCACATTTCAAAAAGAAATAAATAATTTGTTATTAAATGTGCCTTTTTAATCGTAATTCTGTTTAAGGATGACAGGTATTTTCTGTACATTTTAGTTTAGAAACTAGATAAAGCCTTCTGAATAAAAACAACAGATGTTCGTATGCAATTGATGTATGGTACTTAATACACATGTACATTCATGGCCCTAACTTAACCCCTACATATATTTATGCTAATGAGTATTTTTATTCCTGCCGTGACATTAATTGTTTTAGTGCTGTGAGTGCTTTGATGTAAATAGATGCCATTGTGTTGGCACCATCCTGACACCATACATCACTCAAGTAAATAACCTTCTCCATTAGTTGTAGAAGTACTTGTGCTCGCAGCTGTAGTGATACATTACTTCCCACTGTACATTAATAATAAACTCTCTCTCTCACCACATCAATGTTTGTGTCGTTCTCTGGGGTCTCGGGCGGCTCGGCGGCTGCAGGACTGTTGGACGGCATGGCTGAGAGAGGATCGGTGAAACCACGTTTGGAAAGTAGAAAATAGAGCAAATCAAAACATGGGAGGGTCCTTCAGAAGCACCAAGAGCAGCTTCATTCAATTTGTCCGTCTTTCTATCTGTTGGACGATCACTGGTTCTCTCAGTCGTCCCCCTTTCCTAAAGAGAAATAAAACACATACAGCATGTAAATAGTGGATCTACTGTAAAAGGAAATGTGTCAAGTTTAAGTAAAAAGCCTCGAGGATAAGGCTATCAAGGTCTCTATGAAATGTACTTGATGGATGGACCCCTGCACATGCAGAGCAGAAAATATTCAATTTCATGGGTTAACACACATTTATGCACACACACACATACGCACAGGTGTCCTCAAAGGAATCTGCAGGGATCAGGGCGGCTTTCAACATGGCTGTCAGAGTGTGTGATGGATGTGGCCGGATAAAACTGTCCCATATCATTAGATAAAAGGGCTGCGGGTAGTAAACATTTCCAAAATCTAATTAAATTCCCTCAAACAGGACGCAGATTTGTTTTTAATTACTTTATAAACAGGGGGAAATCAAATTGAAGCTTTTTTTTTTAAATCTTGTTTTGGGCCATTTAAATCACAACAGATTTTATTTTGGGCTAAGCAATTGCCCATTGTTACTCGTTGAGGGCTGCAACCAGTAATACCAATAATAGTCCTTTTTCGGTACCACTTTACAATAAGACTACCCTTATAAAGTGTTTGTAATTCATTTATTAATTAGGTTGTGAACACTTTACAAATCATTAATAAGCTTTTATAAGACATGAGATAAACAGGGAAACTGTGACCGGTTGCTTGCCAAATAGTGAGCCCACATTCCTCTGTACTGCTAAGCCTTATATTGGCTACTTAGCTTACTTCATCATCAGCCAGCATCCTTGGTATCTGTTGTTTACCGAGTTGACTCTCGCTAAGTAGCCAATATAAGGCTTAGTCATCTTGCCAAATAGTGAGCCCACATTTATCTGTACTGCTAAGCCTTATATTGGCTACTTAGCTTACTTCGTCTTTGTCATCAGCCAGCATCCTTGGTATCTGTTGCTCACTGAGTTGATTCTCGCTAAGTAGCCAATAGGTGCATCTCACTTTGGTTAAATGGATTCCTTGCGTCCCTCACTTGCGTCGTTTCCCTGTGACTAGTCCCTCCCACCAGGGAAGCATGGAGAGATGCAAGGAAACCACGAGAAGCAGGGAAATTAGTTTTAAGAGCAATGGGACGTCGTTTCCTCCGGAGCGTCACGTGAAGCGACGTCTGTTTGTGATGACGCCGCACAGCTGATCGTCTGACCAGATGCTTAGTCATCTTGCAAAATAGTGAGCCCACATTTATCTGTACAGCTAAGCCTTATATTGGCTACTTAGCTTACTTCATCTTCTTCATCAGCCAGCATCCTTGGTATATGTTGCTCACTGAGTTGATTCTCGCTAAGTAGCCAATATAAGGCTTAATCATCTTGCCAAACAGTGAGCCTGTGTTGACGTATGAAAACTATGTTAGAACTGGTTTATAAATGGTTCTTAATGATTAATAAAGTGTGTACAACCTAATTCATAACCTAATTAGAAACCCTTTCTGAATCCTTTATAAGGGTAGTCTCTCTTATTTCTACAACAGATATTCAAAACAGACAGGTAACATAGCGATGCATTTGTGAAATGCGTGCAACAGGTCCCTAGCTTAACAAGTAGAACAATGCAGATATATAATTGCTTCAAATGTGTTGGGTTTGATGGCCAAGGCACATTCAAAACAGGTGGGTTTTCAGTCTGGGGCAGAAGATGTGTTTACTTTCTGCTGTCCTGATATCAATGGGGAGCTCCTTCCACCATCTTGAACCCTTTAACAACTTTAAACATTGACTACACTTTTGTTCTTGCTCCAACATAATCGGTTAAGTGGACATAAAACATAAACAGATCACAATTAAAACACAAAAGGAGTTTAAAAAGCTGTGTTTGCATGTGCCTCAAAAGAAAACTTGGATCTCAGCAGTGATTTGGATGTGAGCACAGTGTGAGTGCAGCCAATAAGTCTGGCTTTCCTCAACATGTATTGTACAGTATGTCACTCCCCATGCTGTGGCCTTACATCACCTACTGTTAAAACAACAGGCAGCGAGCCAGGGTTACCAGAGGAAAGACATACAGGGGTGTAAACTTTGCAGAAATGGGTGTACAGTATCAACCCTACACCCTGCAGGAAAACCAATTCCTCCAAGTTCTGCGTATGTAGGTCACCCAGATACCTCTCTCTCCTATAGTGAGTCTAAACACACAGATGTAAATTGATTGAGTCGTCATGCAGCAGTGGTTTAAATTAGACCATGGAGAAAGGCCCGAGCAGAAGCCTGTGCTGGTGGGAGGGGAAATGATTGCGCAGAGAAAACGCTTTAGAGGTGAATCAAGGTAATGACAGTAAGGCAGTGGTGACACAAAGAAGTAGGTGGTTTGTTTTTCAAAATAAAAGCATTACATTTTTCATTTGATTTATTGTCTTATTTAATTAACTAATTATCGGGTTTCTTTTACAGAGCGGGATATTATTACTTGAGACTTCATTATAAAAATATGTTTATTATGATATAGATACATGTATACAGGTGTTTTTTTAATACAAACTCTTACTTTCCAACTTCAGATCAGAAAGTATTGCACGGTATGTTTTCTGAAATGTCCCCAGGCACATTTCTAATCTTTCTCCACAAATACTGAATCCTTTATTTGTCTATTTATTGAATTGTTGATGGCATAAAAGTGGTGAAATTAATGTGTGAAATCATTGGGATCAGCAGAAACAATACCCATCCTGTTAGATTTTGTTGAACGTGTAAACTTTGCAAAAGTCCCTAAAATCTACAGAAATAATTCAGACGACATGGACTCAAATTAACTCCTAAACAATTGATCACAACAAATAATCCAATTAATTTTAGGTTATCTATTTTATTCATTGTAAGGCGACCTTACAATATGAATCCCCCACAACTATTGTTTGATGACTAATTGTTTAAGTAATATTTTAAACCAGTTAGAGCTTTTCAAATATTAATATTTGGGCTTTTAGTGAGATAAAACAAGAATACTGTCTGATATGCTACACATCAAAATATAATTATTAGTTTAAATAATCTTTAGCTCCCTTGAGGGTTTTATCAATCACTTCTATAACATTGAAAGTTGGGGACTATTTATCAAGCACTTCTATAACATTGAAACTTGTTAAATGTTTAACAATCATTTCTTGGATACCTATTTGATCAAACTGCTTAAAATATTTTGATTACACAATCAGCAAACAGATCTGTGTGTACCGCAGTGTAGACTGAGACTTTTATTTTGAAAGTCTACGCAGGAAGTATCATAGTTTGTCTGCAAGTTTGACGTAGTCCAGGTCCAGCCTTATGACAATTAATATTGGGAGCGACCTCACGCGGCCTTTACCGGACGACCTCTCAGAACCGGCAGATAACCCCGGTGGGGGGGCAGCTGGTGGGGGACACGTGTCTGAGTGTGTGTCGACGGTAAACGTTTCTGGGTCAGGTAAAAAACACATACGGGGGCGCATCTCAGACCGAATGCACTCGTTAACCTCAGGCGCGTGCCCACCAGTCCGCGGAGGCGACGGTAGCGCGCGCTGATGTGTCTGTCTGCATCTGGTGCGAGAGGAGGACCGCGCGCACCGGTTTAACGTTACCTGCCGGTGCCTGGAGGCGGGGTGCACGATCCACCGGACACACACACACTCGTTGTATAACGATTGTCCGGTGCCGTGATTTTCCGCACACCGTACATAAAAAGAACTCACCAAGTTCACTCGTGCACGAACCGTCTTCACGCGCACATCAGCTGCTAAAACGGAACCAAGGGTCTGGCTCCGGAACGCACGAGCGATGACTTTAGGACATCACTGATTCACTTCACGAGCCAAAATGTAATGTTTATATTTACCGTGTCGTCCGTCCGTTAGGCACGCGGACCCTGACGGTCGTCGCTCTCTCTCTCCTCTCTTTCTCGCTCGATCTCTCTCGCTCACTCTCTCTCTCTCTCTCCCTCCTCGCGCTCTACCGGGTCTTCTCTCCCCGCTGCTGCTAGCGCTCCCCGCCTGCTCTCTCTCTCTCTCCAACCGGCCTGCTCTCTCTCACGAGCCGCAGAGGCTGCCGCACCGGAGAGTTTCCGCGAGGTCCTAAAGTCTACATCTACAGCACGCACGTGCACGTACATGCATGTGAAGACAGGTGGATCAGAAGTACAATCATTTTCCAAAAATAAACATAACTTAAGTCAACCTTTAAAGTAGTTCACGTTCAGCAGCATACACTGACTTTGTCACAGGTTTTCTCTGAATCTTAAGCACACTGATGTTACCTGTTTTCTATCTGAGCTGTTCAAGAGAGAAAGATACATCTAAAAAATCTAAAAAAGTGCCATAATTAGTTTTTAAAATGCAGAATTAGTTTTTCTTGATGATAACAAAATAGTTGGTGAATACTATGTTAGAGAGAGTTTGGACTACAAACAAACAGTTACGTCCGTTTTATTAATAAAGCCCAATATCACAAATCAGCCCTGTTCTTTTCAACCTTTGCTTTGGATAAGCAATAACTCCAGAAAACGTGTTTTCCACACTTATAACCCAAAAGGGCAACACATTTACCCATGTTCTTGCTTGGTGGATTCTTTCTATAACTCCCCTCTCTGCATGTTCCTCAACAGGTGAAGCTGCATCATGCTGCAACACGTTGAAACCTGCTCTCCTCTAACTGCACAGAAACATAGGAAAAGCAGTAAATGAAGTATAACAGGGTATATGCAGGAATCCTGAAGTCAAATGTAATACCTTTTAAGACCTTTTTTAAGACCCTTTCCATACATTTTAAGACCTCATCGCCACTTGGAGTTTTAACCGGTTACATTGGCGACACACCTTACCTCACATTTACTATATACAGTATTGATTGTCCTTCCTCCTTATCTTCCAACCATTTGGACGCAAACTTGCATTTCCCCATAACGATGTTGTTTAACAACCGGCGTAAACGGACCTTCGCGCGCTATCAAGCAGTGAGCGTGCGATGTCCTGTTCAGATGACGTCAAATCCAACGGGATGGCATAAATAAACTACACAGAATCACACTACACACCTACGCAATGATTACATTCAGGCAGACTGTAGAATACAACCTCTTTGGACAATTTATATACTTATTGAAAACAAGCTACAAAATGTAATACCTTGGAAAATGCCGTTTAATACTTTTTAATAGCGTTAATTTTCACTAAATTGATTTATCAACTTTTAATACTTTTTAGGACCCCGCGGACACCCTGAAAAACGGATCAGAGGGGTCTTGAGTGACCGGGTCATGATTTTTGGAAAAAAAGAGACTGCTGTTGACATTTTTAAGTGTGTTATTCTTTTTGCGACCCACAAGCTGAGTGCTATCTAGATCCTTTATATTGTAGCTGATATCTATAAAACTCTGCAACACATACGAAAACAATTTAGATGAAAACATACAGTACCGGTATGTATTTGATTTGAAGGTTTGCTGTCCCTTTAAACACTACTAGGTGTAGTTGTAAAAGATTTCGAAATGTGTGTGGTCTTTCTCTGTTTACCAATTTTTGGAGAAATAGACACATAAAGTAATTCTTACTAGGGATGCAACCTTTGTTTACATAATTGGTAAATGTGTTTATTATTTACTTCCTTTAATAAATGAGTCCATATCTTGTCATAGAGGATCTAATACGCTCACTGTATGTGTAAGTTATATATAAGCAAATCCAAGCATTTATTAAGATTAAACAAGATATTTTTTTACTTTAACCCTTAAAAAATGACTTAAAAGTGCTGTTTATTATTAATACTGACTTTGAACTATTGTCAATGAAATAAAATTGACTTTAATTGCATTATAAACCGTTGATTTTTGCTTCAGAGCAGAAGATTAAACTCAGTTTGACCTCTGAAAGTGTTAAGATCCCTAATAAACAGGGTCATAACTGCACTGTTGTTGGGGGGTTATTTATAGCAGTCAATGAGGTCACCAACAACAGACAACCTCAATGAGCTTTATTCAGTTGAACACACACACACACACACACACACACACACACACACACACACACACGGGAAAAGTGAGAACTGGTCATCCATACTAATAAGGACACTGAATCAGGGAAAAGGTAAAACAGTCTTACATAGCGGAGAGAAAGTGGGTGTTTATTTATAGGAACTGGGTTATGAAGATGAAAAACATTGGCTTGGTTTTGGCTCTGATGTTTGTGGTCAGTTTGGGTACACATGATGACATTTCGTTTGCTATACTGGTACAATTAACTAAGTACATTTAACCAAGTACTACACTCAAGTTCAAATCCTACTTGTACTTTAATATTACCATTCTTTTCAACATTTCAGGTGTAACTGTTGTACTTTTTTACTTATTTAGGTCAATTACTACATTATGAGTTCATTAAATGTGATGCATTATACATTCGATTATGTTAACATCATACATAGTTGTTGAAAATATTTTAAACGTGAACAATAAAATGTTTTTCACACAAATGCATCAGTATTCAATGCTGTGCTTTAACACACTAATAGGGCTCTTTAGCATGAGTAATTCTGATACATAGTACACCTTGCTGCTTTAACTATATACTTTAACTTAAGATTTTGAATGCAGGTCTTCTTCTTCTAAAAATCAGCTTAAATACTATCATATTTATCAAGTACTCGCCTCCAGAGTTAACGTTGGTTTCGGAGTTGTTGCAAAAGCATTGGGTTCAGAAATGCTGTATTCCAGATGACACGAGTCAAGGAATTTTACAAATGGGTCACTTTCCAGGAATACAGCAGAGTGTTGTTTCCAACTTATTTCACAGGTTTATTTGATCAGTTATTGCAACACTGTTCACAAACATGAGCAAATCCGAAAGTTGAGGTCATGAAAGAGCTCTAGGAAAATTGTGGAAAGGTTTTTGGACACATCACATACCTGTGTTGTTATGTCGCTGCCAAGCCTTTTGTGTCCTGGGGGATTAGGACCGACAGTCACAAGGACAACAAAACACAAGAGTTTGACTTTAAATATTTTTTTATTACACACTCTTCACTCACAGTGTCAGCTCAGGCAGGTTCAGAGCTGAAGGTGTTTACAATTTCATGCCAGGACTCGTCTGCCCTGTCAATCTTGGTTCACACATTCAGACAGAAACAAAAGCTCATTCAGGTATTCATCATTCATCACACATGCAAGCTGTCAGTCAAACAATATGAAGGGCTGGTGAAGTCTCTAAAAAATATAATGTCCAACTAAAAACTGATTTTAAAATGTACAACAGTTACCTACAGCTTCCAAATCAAAGCCGTGTAATGCTAAAAACATATCTACCTGACATGATTCAAGCTCAGTAAGTCACTTTGGGTAATCTTTAATTATCATACAGATATCAGAAAATATTCTTGGGCTGCTGGTTATAGTTTAACATCCATGGAGAACTACGACTCCCACAATCCCCTGCATTTTACATAAAGCCTGAATCGAAGAGTAGCAAAGTGTGAAGAGTCATTTTGGACAGGCAGCGTTTGGAAAGCAAATTGAATAAACTCTTGTGAGATAATGTTTGATAAGGGGCACTTTAAAAGGTTAACGCATACGTCAAACTCACAAACAGTCAAAAATGTTTGTACTTACATTAAAGACATGAGAGAAGTCTTGTACTTGACTTCCAAGGAGCATTGCAGAAATGTCCAATAGGAGAGCGTGAATTGAGTTGAATGAGTCAATTTCTAAAGAAGGCTACGCTGTTTTGTCTCTGATTACAACAATGTCGTATTTCTTTTTTCCACAGTGGTGTAAAGAGACATTTCGCATGCAAGATTGGATTAAAAAAAACATGATTTTTTTTCTAAGGATCACGATTTCTGTCAGTTTTTCTTTCCTCTTCTCTTCCTGGTGTTGGGAACTGTGTCTGTATACATTATTTCTTCAATCAAAATGCAATAAATAATTGGTCACATAAGCAAATTATGTGGATATGAGTTTTTTTAACCAATTCAAGAAAGATATTGAGTCCATTTATTTTTCACTTATTTCTGTCATCACCATGTGACCCTTAATAACCAGGTTGGGCTACACTGACTTTTTAAAAGAATATTTATTTTTAAAAAAGGGGCATGAATACTTCCAGAGCCCACTTCTCCACCCATTTTGCTACTCTATTGCTACACTGTTGCAGCAAATGTTTTTTTTTATCCTACACACACACACACACACACACACACACACACACACACACACACACACACACACACACACACACACACACACACACACACACACACACACACACACACACACACACACACACACACACACACACACACACACACACACACACACACACACACACACACACACACACACACACACACACACACACACACACACACACACACACACACACACACACACACACACCTCCTCGACTGTAGTCCCACTGCAGTACCGAGTTACACAGAGAGGCCAGCACAACCTGAGCTGCTGTCATATCAGCACCATGGCACTAATCTGCCAGGTAACAAGAGCGGGACCTTAGCTTTCAGCCTTCAGCAGGAAGCGTCCCGTTAAAGCTTATCATCTCAGCAGGACCATACACATAAACACTCAAACTGAAAGACTACATGTCTAAACTCAAATCAAAGCAATAAATACTAAGCACACAGTGCCGAAACGTAAAACATTACTACACACTTCTCGTCTTTTTACCACTTCTCTTTACATCCTGTATTTCCATCCTGAAACTTTCCAGTTTTTTTTTTTATCCTTCACAAATTTCCGTAACATCTTTTCTTCACTTACTTGACCCTCGAAAAACGCAGAGCACACACACACACAGGCTACAGTACAAATCAGCAGGTTCCAGACTCCTTGTTTAGCTATGCACGATCAAATCAAACAAAAAGTTAAAACCACAGTGACATGACACACACACACAGAATCACAGCTATACATCAGTAGGGACCCAGCGGTCGTTTGGTGTCCAGCATCGTGATTGGTTGATTGGCAGAGGAGCTCTATTCCCCATTGGCTAACGATAAATATATGATGATATATAATAATCCCAGCAGGGTGAGTCTTCTTTGGCCGTGATCAAACGTCAGTCTGCCTGAGGAGAGAGGCATTAGCGCGTTATATCTCTGGTTCATGATAATATGTTGTAGTTATATTTGATTTTTGTAGAAATTAACCAATTTATATAAGCTAGCTTTAGAGTTAGGCTTTTTTAAACCTCAAAAAAAGTTAGCATCACTATAAAACACATTCACAGCATATCAAAAGGTGATAACAACCGTTTTCTGTTTTGTTTTTGCAAATTGATTACACAGAATCACTTACTGTTTTTGTTTGTCCTGCGATCATTTTAACCTGCTAAAGAGAGAAAGAAAGTTTGTCAGCAAATGTTTGTGCGGTGCTCAATCAAGTGCTACAGGTCTCTGCCAGAAACTGTAAAAAGAACCAGACCATAAAACAAGACTGTGCTTGGCAGGTGCTACACAAACCGAGTAGCTCCAGAGAGAAAACTCAATAGTGAACAGTCTAACAGTATTTCTCTTTAAACGTTATGACTTAACTGTGTTGAACAGGGGGCTGAAACCTGGCCTGCAGTCCGTCTGGCTGTTCGGGGTCGGCGGGTTAGTACTGCAGGTTAGCTTCTAATAAGTGTTAAGTCTGGACTCGGGGAACCAGGAAGTAGTTGCAGCGCCCCGTCTCCGCAGGCGGTCCTCTCCATAAAGGATGGCTAATGAGACGGCGTGTTAATGAAGCGAGAGAGCACCTGGAGAATAAGTGGTGTCTAATGGAGAATGCGCATGAGGGCACAGACACAGGAAGTCATGCAGGAGAAGCTGCACGTACAAAAGCATTTCACTTCTGAGCAAAACCTCATTTTATTTTGTTAAACGTTCGCTAGCTGATATGTTCTACCTAAAAGCTGTATCTGCAATCAATGCAGTATTATTATTTACTCCTAAAATGTGTCAATTTCAGTGTTTTTTGTCCATGTGTTACTTAAGGAAATGTTCTCGTCATGTGAGAAAGAGGACTGAGAAAATGTAACTTACATACAAAAAATGAATCAGGGAGAATATAATGTGATTTATATCAGCTAATCACATTTACCAGCTTTTTTGAACCCGTGTTCGTCCCATTGCAAAGACTCAGCATTGAAATGATCATGTTAGTGTAAAGTTTGTAAGCAAGGAGAGTGAGTAAAGAGGGGGGAAATAATTTAATGTGAAAATCTAAATTGAGATAATATCTTACCTCTGTCCTTCCCATTCAGCAATCTCTCCTCTTCCTCCCGAACATCATCTGCTCGGAAAGAGAATTAAAAGAAAAGTCAACAAATGAACATGTGTAAGGGCAAAATGTCAATCTTTTCCCAGATAAAAACATTTACAAGTAACTCTTGACCAAAATGGGGCGAAGCCTGCGAGCTAGTTCAGGCAGTCAACTCGAGCACCAATGATACATTAACATGTGACGCACCTCGTCCCTCTTACAACTAACCAAACACATTCTCCTAAACATGCCGCTCTATTTAAGCTGCCAGGTCTTCCTGCCTCTGCCTCGCTATGCTGCTGCTGCTGTGTTCACTTGCTATTGCTACGTTCATGTTCCTGCTGCTGTGTTTCATGTTGCTGCTGCTCGCCTGCCCCACCACCACCCCAGCTTCCACCCCAGCTCCACCCCAGCTTCCACCCCAGCTCCACCCCAGCTTCCACCCCAGCTTCCACCCCACCACCACCCCACCACCACCCCAGCTCCACCCCAGCTCCACCCCAGCTCCACCCCAGCTTCCACCCCAGCTTCCACCCCAGCTTCCACCCCAGCTTCCACCCCACCACCACCCCAGCTTCCACCCCCACCTCCACCCCAGCTCCACCCCAGCTTCCACCCCAGCTTCCACCCCACCACCACCCCAGCTCCACCCCAGCTTCCACCCCAGCTTCCACCCCAGCTTCCACCTGTAGGCTCGGGGAATAGTTATCTAATCATCACTCAATGTTCTTTGTAAATCTGTGGAGTGATGAGGCCCGAGCCTAGATGCCAAACTCAAACTATATGCTGCTTCTAATAAACATATTAAGAAACACGTGAGTTGTCTGACTGAACTGACAGAAACATAAAAGACAATATTTGACTTAATTTGTGAAATGGTGTTTGTTACGAATCTATGAACATGTGAAAAGAGAATCTGCAAGATACTATGGATACTATATATTGTGTATGTTAGCTTGTACCAGAGTGCAGCTCTTTGACCAGAGAGGACACGGTGTTGGTGATGGAGTCGGCTGCGACCAGAAGATCGTTCCTCAGGTTCCTTCTCGGGCCTGTGACAAGAAGATGGGAAAATAAGAGCTTCCTCCAAAGTTTTTTACAAACTTTAAAACCATTTGGGACACATTTCTGATTTCTAACACATGTTGTTGCTTTAATTTAAATCTTCCACACATTGTTGAGATAATGTGAAGCATTGATGTTCCATGTTAACATTGTTAAACAGGATTTCCTTGACAAATTGGCTACTTTTGATCCATTTATTCTGTGAAGTGGTTTGAATTACAGGCTGCAGTTTTTGCAGCGCACCATGAACTGTTAATACGGGGAAACTAATGTGAAACACTGGGTCAGAAACAACTGTTGCATTTGTGTTTGGAGCTGAGCAGAAATTTTATAACTCCATGTGGTGAACACAGCTGGAGTTACGACTCGACAATTGTTTTACAAATGAGCATTAACATTCCAACATGTTAGACCTTTGCAAACAAAAAAAATATAGAAATTCACAATTTAAAAGTAATTTGTAACCCTCCTATTGTCTTTGTTTTCCCCCCCTTACTTTGGTGTTCGCGGTCAAATTTGACCGGTCCTGTTTTAACTGCTATTACATTAACACAAAAACCATTAATCATCACCAAATGTCATTTAACACCCTTTCAAACTGTACATATTGTATCAGACTACTGGTATACATGAAAAACTGCAGTAAATATACAAAGAACAGACACTGAACATGTATTGCGTGTGCCAGGTGTGATCCATGTGGGGGGATGGGCACATAAGAGCGGGAAATGTGTCAAATTGTTCTGTCTGTGTGTGTGTTTGTGTGTGTTTGTGTGTGTGCCAGGTGTGATTCACATGGGGGGATGGGCACATAAGGGGGGAACACATCTAGAGTATGTGTGTTTGTGTGTGTTTGTGTGTTTTATCTGATCCGGATGGTTACTAATTCCTTTTCTTATGACGGTCATTTTTGACCGGGAACACCATGGGTGTTACAAAGTTGACTAAATCATCCAAAATCCAATGAAAGTGGTGATCAGCCATTTTATATGTTCAAATGTCTACTGTGAAGGATATCATAAAGCCTTAATGCAATCGAATGTAAAACAAAAAAGTTATGATTGATGAAAGTAGTAAATCGGTCAGATTTGACCCGAAGACAACAGGAGGGTTAAGAGAAGCAGGTAAATAGAACATTTTCCAATTTGTAAAATATCCAGTTCGAGTTATGACAACTACACGTTTTGTCAGAGACATTTTTGAGCTGACCAGAAAATTGTAAAACGTGTTGGATCCGATCTGCAAGAAACATCTCCCCTACGTGTTTTAAAGAGGACTTAGTATTGAACTCTGTCTTAAATAGCTTTAACTAAACCAAACCCCATTAGATATGTATGTCACTTGAGGGCAAGACCATTTAAAAGTATTACATAATGGTAGTTTTTTTACACTGCTGTAATTTCCAGACTTACCTTGGGCAAAAGCTTCTTGTACGTCACCGCCCACCCCAGCGAGTGAGTCTTGAGGATGGTACATGTGAGCGTGGGGAGACGCAGCAGCTACAGAGCGCACGATCGAAGGGCTCGGTCGAGAAGGAGAGGCGTGAGAAGAGCCAGCCGCCTGCGCCTGAAACATAGATTTAAAAAGGGTTGTTACACTTTATGGATTCCAGAAACATCTCACTTGTCATTTTTTTTGCAGCTGACATCACTTTTACAATGCAGTTTAAGTTCTGGTTACAGTTGGAAAAAGGTCAACTAATATATGCCCCAAAAAATTGTAAAATTGAGCTTTGTTTTGACATTCTGCAAGACAATAGGGCTGAACCCCACATTCACGCCACGCGAGTCCAACATAAGGGGGATAAACTTACTGCCTGTCGCTGCTCCTCATCCTACAGGGCCACAACAAGGGCAGTCGGAAACAAACAGAGAGGAAAAGGATGGAAAAGGAGAGGTCAGATACAGTCAGAGCTGGAAATGATTAAGGAGTGAAATAGCAGAGGGAAAAGTGAAGCTTGTTACTGCGAGGACAGAAACAGGGAGGTGTGACAAAGAACGGAAACGTTGTCCTCTACTGTGTGACAAATTCACCATGCTGAAATAAAAGCCTGTGTGTGTGTGTGTGTGTGTGTGTGTGTGTGTGTGTGTGTGTGTGTGTGTGTGTGTGTGTGTGTCACCTTGAGCAGCTTCATCAGTCCCTCGAGCTGTACCATCAGCTCCCTCCTGCTCTCTTGCAGAGACGACATCCTCTGCTCCAGCTCATCTTTCCTTTGTCTGCAAAACACATCATCCCTCCATTACTGTCACATAACAGAGAGTCGGGAGGCAGCAACAAAAACCCCACAGGAGGCACAAGACACTGACATTATTTGAGGTTACAAAAGGAGCACAATTACAGAAAGATGAAGACATTAAGAGCTATTATTGTAGACTTCCAGGCCACATTTACACATGTCTCACATCCCCAGATTTAATTTTGTACACCATTATTTGCACTAAGACAAATAAACAGCATTGATCTCCACGAGCACTAACCCTATGTGAGGACACTCATGGTCGGAGCAGTAATGGAAATTCACCACAATCTACTTAATGAGAAATAGAGTGATAGGATGCTCCATCGTCCCATTCCTGGCAGGCACTAACACACAATCCTCCAGACTGCTTGAGATGGTAACATGAGGTGAATGAGTGGATAAAACAAAGTAGGTGAACGGCCAAAAAGAAAATGGTGTGTGTGTGTGTGTGTGTGTGTGTCTCATTCACTGTCCCTCAGGTTGTGGCATGTGTATACATATTGGGCAGCAGGATGTGCCTTGTCTCCTTCTCCTAGGAGTATTTTCAGTCTTGAGAGGTCATTAACCTCCTTGAAAACCTGGGAGTTCAACTTGTTACAGTAAATGTTCCTTACTTTGTTAAATGTTGGCAC